AGTTTTCCCATATGCGGACCAGGAAACTGGCCCCCATAAGGAAAAAAAACAACGAGTATTCATCACGTTGTGGGGACATTTGGTCCCCACAACGTGATGAATACCCCTTTTTTTTTTTTGGTCCCCACAAGGTAAGGTATACCTGGACTACACACACAATAAAGGATTTAGACTCAGTTTGACTTGAACCCCCAGCCCTGGAACTATGAGGCAACTTTGCTAATGACCATGTAGCTCATGTAGCTATGCTCATGTGACCTTCGAGGTGCTGCCCCGGAATCTGGCCGTGCCATTCTGGGACGTGTCCCAGCGGCTGGGGCTGCCCCCCATCCTAACCCATGCTGACGGAGTACTGGCCAACTGGAGGAAGAAAAACCCAGAAGGGTGAGAGCGCGCACACACACCCATACACACCGACGCGGGTACAGTCCTGGGTACCAAGCTACCATTTTGCAGAATTCCCTCTAGTCGTACCTCCGGGAGCATTGACTAGCGGGTCTGAGGCCTTAAACGTGAGCTAGCAGCCACCCCCTGGTGGTACATTAAGCGGGATCTTCAGGAGCTTCCAGTCATCCTGCTCCTGCGTGAAAATCCTGCAGAACGGTAGGTTGAAATGTACACTGTGACAGACACAGCAGCTTGGGTGGAGGGCATGTATGTGGAGATCAGGAAATAAGGAAACGAGGACATGTGCAGGCAAAGTTTCACGGTGGATTTAATTTTAATTTTGAGGTTTTGAATTTGCAAACAGCAAGTACAAAAGTTCAATGATAAACAGAGTTAGATTTCTAAGTTGAGGGTTGTTAATTTTCATCAAGTGTATTCTTGGTGTGTCCCAGGTCTTGGTGAAAAAACGGCTGAGCTGCGGGTATCTGATACATATAGCATATGGCTCTCCCACATCTCTAAGAACATTCAAATCTCTCTCCTATTTTCATTTTCATGTCCATTGTGGGTTCCTGCGCCAGACCCTTCGACATGGAGTGAGTATCTCAGTCCAAACACCAATGTCCTCCTCCCAGATGCAGCCTTGCCTGCTACAGTTTATGTCCTTTGAGAAAAAAATTAACTGAAACAGAATGAGTAAATGAGTGTGTGTGTGTGTGTGTGTGTGAGTGAGTAGGTGAGTGAGTGAATGAATAAGTAGGTGAGTGAATGAAGATCAGTGATGATGTTCAGCTCCTCTGCAGCTGTAACCATGGCAATA